TGCTCATTCAGGAGAGAGAGGACTCTCTCAACCAGAACAGAATCAAAGTACAACATCAGGAGTGTGGCACAATGTCTTCATTCAATGCAGAAGAAGTCCATCGCAACTCCAACCATCAACTCTTCCGACTTCCTCCCTTCTCCTGTTTGCTCTGCGTGTCCTCTCTGGCCCATGGCCGGCAGGCCACAATCTGCACTCCAGCCATGGGAACAGAGACAAACCAACCACGCAAGTTCATCACCAATTCTTCAGTCAACACCAAAGAAATCGATTGAGACTCATGGGACCTTCAAAATCCTTCTTCAGGAACTTCTTCAGGAAATGTTTCACTGCAAAGGCCATGCAAGTATACATTTAATGAGGTGCTCTGAAAATGATAAGCTGATGGTTCTTTTCATAGTTAAACGGATCTTTTCCATAGTTCCATTTCCTGCTTCTGGTTTGATTCTGTCACGCACCATTTTAACTATGCAGGTATGTGTGTTTTGTTTAGTTATGTTTGTAATTTAGTTAATACAACTTGTGCACAATACGTATTTGGTTCTGATTCTCTGCTTGCAACAAAGTTTATTTTACGATTTAGATTTTGACTACAGGCTCTTAGTAGTACTGTATAGTAAGAAAGACATTTCTTAGAATTAATAAACAATTAACACTGAGTGTTCACGAGACGAACAGGTGGATTGATTGTAATATTCATTTTACTACATTAAGTTAATTCTATTAACTGATCCAAATATTCATAATCAATTATGACAAGTTATGATTGATTATTGATATTTCTTTAGAGCTAATTTGCTACAGTGCAAAGTCATCCAGTGGCATTCACACACACAAATACACAGAATGAGCTTCAAGACTGCTGGTTCATTAACTGATTGCCTTTAGCTACAATTTAATTTGTTCACTATGATAGAGATCACTGGTAGACAGTAGATAAGGGCTGTTGATTCCAGATGATTTGTCCTTATAAATAAATCAAGCTGTGGAGATACGTTTGTGTGTGTGAATGTGAATCACTGTGACGTGTAATTGAAGAACATGCTAAGGACACTGCAGCTGGTTATGCTGTTTTTGCCCACTATGATTTAATCATTCATGTATGTAATTAGCACCATCAAATCTGATTTACATTAAACTTGTGCTATTTTTGAGTATTTTCATTTACATATTGGAATGTGTGTGAAGGCACGAATTAGTGAGAGATTATATTTTCTTTTTGTCCTAAACCTAAATTTTCAAGTTTCCATTTGAGTTTCAAATAGATTTACAACATGCAATTAGTAATGAGTAACAAAAGAGTTATTTCCCCCCTAGAGATGACAGTCCATTCTCTCAGTAATCGGTACAAAGTTATCAAAATGAATTTGCATTTGTATATTTCATGCAGGAATGCACTCAAAGGAAATTAAATATGAATCAACATCTTACCCTGGCAGTTTGCATCCAGCATGATGTTTCATACTAGTTTGTTTCTGTCAGTGATTTATGTAGCCCCCCCCCCTCTTATACCGTGTATGGAGTATCCCATCTCTTGACATGTTGACTACTGGAATTAAACAAAAGCTGACGGGATTGAGCAGTTACCCACAATTCCGTTTCATGTGCTGACAGGAATAGAGCCAGGCTTCTCTAGTAATGGACATGATAGAAGGGAGGAAATAGAGATGCGTTGACAGCCAAAACTCCATGCCTCTTAATATGAAAAAGAAAAATATGATGAGATGTCAAGTAATTTTATGAAAAAACAAACAGCATTTTTTTAAGATGACTCACAATGGACCTTGATTGTACTTTTTCTATTTTTGAAATGCAGAGAGCGCCATCTCTCTAACATTGTTTTTGCCATTTGACAATATTTATAATAATATATTCTCAGAAATAAGCTAATAAGAACTTAAAAGCAACTGTAATTGGATAAATGGGGAAAAAGGAATACATTCCGAATGGCAAGCTTGATATCTGCTCATAGGCTTGTTAAAAAAAGCAGAATAAACTCAACATATGGGTTGTTAAGATGGACTAATCTTTGAATTTGGTTCAACTGAAGCGTGCCAAGCTTAATCCTCATTCACATCACAGCAATCTGATTCTGTTTTATAATCAAGTGAATGGTGGCAATGCACATGGAGTTTCATGTTAGCAGTTAAAATAAGCAGAACTAATGAATGGCAGTTAGGATATCAGCCTGTGTCTTCACACTTATTATGCTTATGATGAGTGCTCAGATGCTTTACTATGGCAAATATTTGAATGTCATCGTATTCCTTGCAGCATACTCAGTCATATTTCTTTTTCATTCTGCTACGTCCCTTAATTCATGTCACTCATTATCACACTTTGATCAATTCGTCAAATGTGTGAACTTAATTTTACTGATACTTTACACTTTATGATAGCTGCTATTGTTAAGTTATTAATGAGGGTAAGTATAAAATATACATCCAGATGTATTACAGATAAATGCTTAACAGTTAAATTCAATTATGAATTTACAGCATGCAAAAATTATAAATCAAGGTTTCATGGCTTTTGGACTGAAACTCATTTGGACTCAATTTCATGTTTTTATCCCATGAAAATAACAATATTTCATCATTTACCTTCTTTTAAATGATTTTAATTAAGGGTACAGATTGTCAGTTTAAGCCAGAGTTTTATACCAAATCACTTAATTCAAATAGTCTCTTTTCAAAAATACATTTGACCAAAGAAAAAAAAGTGACTTAAAATAAGGTTAACTATTTATGGTGGTTCTGTTATTAATGAAGAATATCATAGTGTTACTCATTTTTTAATTCGTTTCACCTTGAACAGTAATGTGGCTGAGCACTAGATGTCAGAAGTTTGGACACTCTGTTTCTCGTGATTTAATTTTTGTAACACTTTATAATAGCTATCATTAAATCATTAAAGAGTATACACTAAATAGGCCTGTAAAATATACATATGCAGATGTATAATATATAAATACTCAACAGATAAATTCAAATATGAATTTACAGTTTATTCAAAAATGTAAAGCAAGGTTTCATGCAATTTGTCATTTTTACTCCCACTTGGTTTAATTTCATGCTTTGAATACTAATTGTACTGTTTGTGGTCTCCTATTATAATAACAAGTTTTCAACACATACCACAAGTCTTCTCACAGCATGCTGCCATGTTACTTTTGGATAAGGATTCTGAGTTTAAGCCAGAGTTTTATATCATTTGAGTAGTTAAGTAGTTGCTTTACAATATATTAAGTCAGCGTAGAATACAAAAAAGGGTTAAGTTATTGTTATGTTCGAATATAATAAAGCGCTACTCATATTTTCATTTTGTTTTTGATTCTCGTGATCTTGAAAACCTTTGAGATATACACTCACCGGCCACTTTAATAGGTACACCTGTCCAACTGCTCGTTAACACTTAATTTCTAAGCAGCCAATCACATGGCGGCAACTCAGTGCATTTAGGCATGTAGACATGGTCAAGACAATCTCCTGCAGTTCAAACCGAGCATCAGTATGGGGAAGAAAGGTGATTTGAGTGACTTTGAACGTGGCATGATTGTTGGTGCCAGAAGGGCTGGTCTGAGTATTTCAGAAACTGCTAATCTACTGGGATTTTCACGCACAACCATCTCTAGGGTTTATAGAGAATGGTCCGAAAAAGAAAAAACATCCAGTGAGCGGCAGTTCTGTGGGCGGAAATGCCTTGTTGATGCCAGAGGTCAGAGGAGAATGGCCAGACTGGTTCGAGCTGATAGAAGGGCAACAGTGACTGAAATAACCACTCGTTACAACCGAGGTATGCAGCAAAGCATTTGTGAAGCCACAACACGCACAACCTTGAGGCGGATGGGCTACAACAGCAGAAGACTCCACCGGGTACCACTCATCTCCACTACAAATAGGAAAAAGAGGCTACAATTTGCAAGAGCTCACCAAAATTGAACAGTTGAAGACTGGAAAAATGTTGCCTGGTCTGATGAGTCTCGATTTCTGTTGAGACATTCAGATGTTAGAGTCAGAATTTGGCGTAAACAGAATGAGAACATGGAACCATCATGCCTTGTTACCACTGTGCAGGCTGGTGGTGGTGGTGTAATGGTGTGGGGGATGTTTTCCTGGCACACTTTAGGCCCCTTAGTGCCAATTGGGCATCGTTTAAATGCCACGGCCTACCTGAGCATTGTTTCTGACCATGTCCATCCCTTTATGGCCACCATGTACCCATCCTCTGATGGCTACTTCCACCATGTCACAAAGCTCTAATCATTTCAAATTGGTTTCTTGAACATGACAATGAGTTCACTGTACTAAAATGGCCTCCACAGTCACCAGATCTCAACCCAATAGAGCATCTTTGGGATGTGGTGGAACGGGAGATTCGCATCATGGATGTGCAGCCGACAAATCTGCGGCAACTGTGTGATGCCATCATGTCAATATGGACCAAACTCCCTGAGGAATGCTTCCAGCACCTTGTTGAATCTATGCCACGAAGAATTGAGGCAGTTCTGAAGGCAAAAGGGGGTCCAACCCGTTACTAGCATGGGGTACCTAATAAAGTGGCCGGTGAGTGTATATATTTTTATTTGTCAATATTTTCCATACATGATTCCAACTTTTATGCTTGTTAGCTTTGATGACTTGACAATAGTAATTGTATAATAAATTGGTGTCCAAACTTTTGACTCACAGTGTCTTTCAAATTGAAAGTATGACATGCATGTGAGCAGTATAGCACTTTTTGAGGAGGGTTGTTCTTTTGTTTATACTATCACCTGTGCAGTCTGCAGGTGCAGGTGGGGTTTCAGTGACAGGTGGTTGCTGTGAGAGGGAGGGGGATGGTTTCTGTGAGGCCCCTGAGGGCTGATGAGGGGAAATGCTTTGCCTCGTAAGTATTGAGCCTATAACACATGCTCCGTCTGCTGCCTCTGCGCCGACCCCTGCCTCTTTTGTTATGCTGATTAAGGCAACAGGCACAGTCTTTTGTTCAAGTCAGAGAACGCGAGAGAGAAAGAGAACAAGCGGGGAGGGATGGTCACGCTCCCCGTGACCTAAAGCCCCCCAGTCTCCTCTTCTTTAACGTCACAAGGTGCGCGCAACAAAAACCAGCCACCATCAACTGAGTTCTTCACATCGCGACGCGCACGAGCCACCATCAGCTGAGACTGTCACAACTCTTCTGTCCACACACACACATGGATACGCTGGTACTGGACTTTTATTTCTAACTGCCAGGAGTTTAATGGATATTAGTAATAGCGCAAAAAAAACAAAAAGGATTTAGGTCGTGAGCTCAGACTCTCAAATTGATTTGAAGGCGGGAAGCGCGAGCGCTGAGAGGAATGAAGCACGAGAGTGGACACCGAGCCAATAAACAGAAGCAGCCCGCTGAAACGGTCGCCGTAACGTCGTCATGGAACTGATGGAGGAAACGTAAAAACGGACTCTCAAAAGAAGTTAAAACGTTTAACACGTAAGAAAAACAGAAACATTAAGAAAAGAAGCTGCATTTCCTCAAACAATCCGTTGGTTTCAGAACTTGGACAGCTCCCTCGTGCAGCCGCCTACACACAGTTACCAAAACGACCGTGTGAGGATTCATTGAAATTACTGAACAAAACTGACCCAGTTCTTCTCGGTATTCACCCCCAGAACATCGACACGCCATGACCGGTGTACTTCTGGGAGAGAAGCAGCTTTTTGAGAAGTTCTGGAAGGGCACGTTCGAAGCCGTGGCAATGCCGAGACCCGAGAGCATCATCATCGCCAGCATCACCGCACGAAGAGCCGTGACAAAGTGAGTGTTTAGCCTGAGGCTTCCTGTGTCCTTTCTCAGTCTTTAGCTTGACTAAACATTATTTTAATTCTCAAGAATCTTGAGAATTAAAATAATGTTTAGCAATCACTTTGCTACAGACCAGCCCCAAGGCCATTCTAATGATTATACTGATTTATTCCTTCTAGATACAATATTAATTTCTCCGATTAGTGAAAATTTGGTTGCAGTTTGTTCCTGACATTTGTCTCTGTATTTGTTTTATTGTCTTACAATCTGTTTTGGATTGGGATCTCGGTATTGTCTACTCTCGTTTGGCTTCCCTCACTTGTGTTCATGCAACTTTTGCCTTTTTGTCCCATTTCATTTCACACAAACAGTGATCGTGAATTCTGCCTATGCTCTCCATTCATCATTGACTGTCCTTCACTGGAGGCCAGTCAGTTTCACTTGTGCACACACAAGTGCACAGCAGAGCGAGAGGCTACACAGAGTCCTAATGAATCAAGTCAGAGTAGAGCCCTTCATCATGCCCTTAGGTTAGGACATGGAGATGATCTCAGCGCCTTCTCCTTCACCGATGAATTAGGAGGCATGGCAGCATGTCGAATAGAGAGAAAAGGCAAAAAAGCAATAAAGAAACCCGGGGTTTGCTTCCCTTTTCATCCTTTCCTGTTAATCAGGATCAAGACTTACTCCTCGCTCATTACGCCGGTAAGGAGTGCGTAACTGATTTATGATTCACTCTTGTTCCCTATGTGCATGTATCATTCCATGTACTGTTTTACCCATTTTCCAGTCTCCCATCTCAGGAACCTAGGGTTTCACAGTGCTTTGTCTACTTTTTCCTTATCAAGGCACCTGATGAAAGTGTGTAAGTGAAAGTGGCGTATCACGATTTTGCTACTCACATGAGCTTTATATTCATACTGCAGTAAGATTTGATTGGACTCTTAGCACATAACTGGTCGATCAATAGTCAAAATATTCCGACACCAACCTTCTGCTTTCCGGCTGTCTGTATTCTATAAAAACGAAAAAATGTGGCATTATTACGTTAAGAACCTTTTTAGACTGGACCTGAAACAGAAATAGACTTTGATGGTGCAACCAATGTATTCAGCATTAATTACATATTATTATTGACTTGTATAACAATACTAGAATTTCTTAGGTCACCTGACAAAACGTTTTTAAAGTTCACCCAAAAATGAAAATTCTGTCATCATTTATTCAAACATGTTGTTTCAAACCTGTATGACTTTCTTTCTTTTGGGGAACACAAAAGATATTTTGAAAAAGGAGTGAAAATATATATATTTTTAATTTAATAAAAGTTAAAGATGTCTAGTTCAGTTTTGGTTTAACAATCTCTTCAATCCAGTTTTAATTTCATTTAATTTTTTTTCTTTCATTATGACATTTTTTCACAGATGAAAAAGAGGCAATAACAACATCAAAAACCAGTTTTGAATGACAAAAACTATGACGAAAATCTATTGGCATTTCCTCCACTAATAAAAACAAGACAAATGTTGGGGAGGGACATTAGTTGGCGTATTCTTACTGTGTATTGGATCCGTGCATTTGGCCTTAAAGTGACATCAGTCTATTAAACCTGCTGCTGTCCGTCATTAATGTTTATCAAACAACACAAGGAAAAGAGAAAATCACTCAGTGCTTTTGACTGAATAACGTTAAAAGATTTAATAAGGAATAATCTAATATAGAATATAAAAATTCATTTTAATAAATGAATAATCATTTAATTTATACAAATAAATGTCTGCTTGAAAGAATTAACAATGTTGTATGCAAGTTGTTATAAAGGCTGGGACGGTCCAAGCCGACGGTCGGCCGTTACACATATCTCATATATTCTTGTTTATGATAAATATAGTCTATTGATACCTGCTGATATCTACAGTTAATTTCTTACACGCAGGCGCAGAACGCACATAGTTTGCAGTCGGCTGTAGTCTGTGTTCAAGCACAGCTTTTTGGTCCAGACCCAGCCGACGCGAGGCTACAACACCATCAGTTTTCGTCAACGCTAGTTCTTTGAAGACTTGGAGTGTCCCAGGCTTCAAGAATATATCATTAATTGAAAAGACCATGTTTTTGTTTCTTTATGAGAAGTGTTTTTATTACATTTTAAGATAAATAAAGACATGTTATACAGCACAGTAGTTAAATCTGTGTCTATTGCATGTTCAAACCTTAATATCATTCATATTAACAGGTTAATAGATGTTTTCTATAATGAGTTTTAGAGAAATGCCTAATTGATGCATTACTATTTAACTAAACCCATTAGATTTTAGTCAACCAAATCTACTGTAGTCGACTAAAATCTTATGATATTTAGTCGACTAAAAGTAGACTAAATCTAAAACAATTCAGATGACTAAAATATGAATAAAACTAAATGCCATTTTTGTCAAAAGACTATGACTAAAACTAAATAAGAATTTGCTGTCAAAATTAACACTGCTTCAAACTGTATGCAAAAGTAAAAAATAAATTAATAATAATTAGTCCCAGAAATGTGAGAATGTTATTAGTTTGATAGAGAGAGAATGCTAAGATTAAGAATTTTGGTAACACTTTACAATAAGGTTTCATTAGTTAACATTAGTTAACTACTTAAGTTAACATGAATTAACACTGATCAACACTTTTAGAGCATTTATTAATCTTAGTTAATGTTAATTTCAACATTTACTAATAAAAAAGTTGCATTTGCTAACTTTAAATAATGCACTGTGAACTAACATGAACACACAATAAACAGCTGGATTTTTATTAACTAACATTAACAAAGATTAATAAATGTTGTATTGGTCATTGTTAGTTCATGTTAGTTAATGCATTAGTAAATGTTAACATTGTTAACATTGTAAATGTTACCATAGTTAACATTGTAAATGTTACCAGAATTGTCATTGTTAATTTTGCTTTCACTAGCCTCTCCTCTCTATCTCATTATTAGTCTCTTCTTCTCTATCTGTTTATCTCACTGTGAATATTTACATATTCATAAAGCTACTCACCCTTCAGGGCGCACCTGACGTTGATGTTGATGTGTACAAGGCTGGTAACGACAGCAACATTTACAACCAAACCAATGTCGCTGATTTAACCAGTGCCATCTGCAAATTCAGCATTCAGGTTCGTCTTCATAGTGTTTACCCCAGGCACTGAGGTGTCAAGACACACAGACGTTTTAAGATGTTAAAATGCCTGAGAAATAAAATAATTTATTTCGATTTGCAGTAATAAATCACAGAGCATAAGGCCCATTAGCTTGTAGTATCAGCTGCATGCCTGGAGAAACATCATTATTGGTTATGTCAGCTGAAAAATGCTGGTCACCTATGCGTACACTTAGCCCACTTTGCCCTGCTTTACACATCCCCCCCTACTTAATTGAACATATTTCGTTTTCTTATTCCGCCTCTTTTCTCGTGGTGTCACTGAGCTTTAAAGAGGCCCACAGTGCAGGGCAATTACAAAGGGTGTTGCTGATCCTCCTCTGTAGACCTAGTGTTTTCTGGCAAGGCTAGAGAGAGGAGTTCACTCTTGTGCAGCCAGAGGGTCCTGCCCCCGGCCACTGCAGCCCCACAAGCTGTTCTTCTCAGTGGCACGCCTCATTAAAAATGCAGAGGGTTTTAGTTGGACTGAGTGTAAGTGTGTTTGTGTGGGTTAGGAAGCAGATGGCCCATGGGAGAAAGGGTAAGGGGGAGAACCCTTTACCCTAGCAGATGCTAGTTTAACGAGGAGAAGAATAAAGAGATTAGGGTAACCTGGGAATGGAACTGCACCCAAATGCAAAAGAAGAGAAATAACTATACTATACTTTATATATTGTATTGTCTGGAATATAAGTTGCGTTTTTTTATCATCTTAAACATGCTGCGACTTATATAATGCCGTTAAAAGCACACACATTTGGATTCGTGCCGAATGAGAGAGGTGTGTGCAGCCCAAGTTTATTTCCCATACACCAGTAGTTTTAGTTTTGCTGTAAATAAATTTGATAAATAAATAATAAATAAATTTGGTGTTTATAATAATTGTTGTTTATAATTTATGTTTGTTTAACACTTACGTTTTTTATTCTGTTCTGAATAATGTTACATTTAAAGTATTTGTTGTGGAGGGGGTACGTAAAATAGTAGGTATTTTTAAAGTGTTTAAATAAATGTTGAATTTTATTTAGTGCTATTTTACTATTGTTTCTGAATTTAAGAATGAAATGTATAAATTACATTTCACATAAAATGTAACTTAAACAACGATGCGACTTATCTGTGTCTTCTCAGCAATTCAGTTTTGACCTGGTGCGACTTATTTTCCAGAAAATATATTAAAACAAGCGTGTCATCTTTAAACCTCAAATTGCTTTTCAAATCAACCTGCTATCATTCAAGCTTATTTTCATTTCTTTTGTCTTTTTTCTTTTTTTTTACAACAGTCTTCTGGCAAGTTTTTTATTTTCATTAAAGACAAAATGTTTGGACATGCTTGCTTTGAGAAGGAATTGAGTTTATTGAGTTTTTTTTTTTTTAAAGATTGATCATTCCTCTGGTACTGATTTGACTGGGTGAAATTAAATTAAATTAAGACTGTGGTTACCCTTTTGTTCATTATCGTTATCGTAACCCAATCAGCTTGTGCAGTGTCGTAGCAATTATAAAGAAAAAAGCGTTCCAAAATTATAATGGATTTAACTGCTATTGCACTGCAAGTTCATCATATAGAAAAACTGTGTTTTTATACATCAATGTAAAGTAGCGTAGCTTGGTTCAATCCATTATTTTTTGTTCCTAATTAAGTAGTCGCCCCACACCCAGGCTACAGCCGAGGTGATCAAATGAACAGAAAGACAATGATTTTGTTGATCTTCATCAGTGCGGTCTAGTACACCCAGTCTTTCTTTTGATTTTGCTCTGAAAGCAGAAGGATACGACATTGATCAAAGGTTGTTCGTGTCAGGGCCTAATGTAGAAGCCAGTCAG